TCTCTATTATTGCTGTTTTTAAACAAATATATAAATATCTAAAAAATTATTCGGTTTGAATTTAAGATAAATATGACTAGCAATCCCATGGTGCACCGGTGCCGACCCCTACTGGATGCAAAGAGCACTGCCCTGGGCATCGTCACCCCTCAATTCTGCAGTGGAACCTTCCTGCCTGTCTGAGACCCTGCTGCTCGCCCCCACCAACCATGCCAGCAAGACCCTCCAGCCTGTCTGTGATCTTGTGGGCAGCCCTGGAGACGACGGTGACCACGGATCTCCCCAGTGTACCTGTGTCACTGCTGGAGAGTCCCCTCTCTTATATATGACCTTCTGGGGAAGACAAGGTGATTATTGACATCAGCCTGGGCTGCCTTCACGCAGCCTCTTAGCCTCCCAGTGTCTCACCAGGTCCAACCACCTCCCCCTCCTCATTTGGTTTTCCCTGACTAGCTGCTGGCCCTTCTGTGTCTGCCCTCCCCCTTAGAGTCCCCCATTTATCACTTACCCACTCTGTGCCCCTCTGTCAGTCCCTCCACTCTCCAAGTTAACACTGCCTGAGTCCCATCCCCCTTCCTTCCCTTGGATCCTTCTTTCCACAAATGATCCTGATCCTCCCCCAACCGTCTATATCATTATGCCCTTTACCTTCTAATCCATGTTCACCCTGAAATTAGAATCAATCCTGTGGTTCTGGTGTTTATTGTCATGTTAGTGTTTAGAAACCTTTGCTTGGTCACACAGCATTAAACCACGCTCACTTGAGCCTGTGTGTGTGAGCACATCGGGCCCCAGCCAGTACAGCCAGATCAGGAGCTCCTCATCCTCAGCACAGCCAGGTGGATGGGGACAGGGACATTCCCGGCTTAGTGGCCCATGGCCTGGCTGGGGTCTGGGTCTGGGATCCCAGGGAGGGTGGTGACTGTAAATTGGGGAAAGTCAATTTTCAGCTTCCACCTCTCACAGAGCCGGTGATGAACTGTGGTCACTTAGGGCTGAGTGCCACGAGGATTCAGGAGCCATGGATGCAAAGCCCCCTCAGCAAGCGTCCCTCATCCTAAGAGGTGTTCAGACAGACTCTCCTGTTGGCCTCCATCCAAAAGCAATACGATGGAACTTTCCTTCAACCTGGCCTCCACTCAGAGTTCTGTGGTCCGTTGTTCCCGGTTGGCTTCAGAGTCAACCCAGCAGAACTAGGGATTCTCTACAGGGCGGGGCTCCCATCTCTGGCTGGGTGCCCGGGCCCTGTGTGCGCGGGTGCCTGTCGTTTTGCAGGAAGCCAGAGCTGAGACGCTGGGGTGAATGAATTACAGGTGCCGCTGTAGGGAGGCCCCAGGTGGGGAGAGGCTCCATGTGTCTCCTGGGTGCTCCTCCCAGATGAAGTCCTGCTCATAGCACATTGAATATAAGCAGGCAGGATTCTTTGTGCAGGCCTTATTGATGGGATATGAAATGTGCATCAGTTGGTAATTACTGATACAAAGTGTTTCAAATTCCTCTTCACATGCAACCCAAATCCAGACCCAGTTACAAACCACAGCTGCACTTTGATAGGTTCTTCCCTCAGCCCTGGGCCATGTGATGAATTGTTTTATTCCAAAAACGGTGCCTCTCTTGCCCCTCTAGACTCCTAAGCCTGAGTCCATTACCTCACCCGCCACATCTCAGGGTGGAAGGGGACTTGGGCAAGTAATGAAAAGTTTTCCTTCTGATTTCCAGATTTAAGTCTTAAAGTTTTTAGTGACTGGAGACTGATTTTTCAACATTGTTAATGAAACCTTCTTACTACATAAATGAAAAGTATAAAATTCTCATGTTCCCATGTGCTTTTTTTTTGTGATCATTTTGACCAAATCTGATTAAAATCTTCATATGATCCTGAATTTATGTACCTGTACTACATTTTCCAGGAGAGAAATTAGGCTTCAGAGGAAGAATTTGTGTGATCACGGGTGGGTGGTTTCAGATGTGGGCAGGTCAAAGGGCTCAGAAACTTGGCTTCTACCACATCACGGCCCAATGGGGAGTCTGAGGCAATGAGCATGCTGGAAAATAGCAAATTGAAGAAGCACTAGCAGCCAGTTCCTGTGGCTGTGCTAGATCTGAAAACAATCCAACCTCAAGGGCAGAACTTGCTTCCACAGGCTTTCCAGTCCTGAGTGGACACTTTTGTCACTGGACGGGGACTAGGCCTGGAGTGGATAAACCTATGGCCCACTGGTAATGTATGGGTTGTTGACTGCGTGCAGGAAAGATTTCACAACACAAGGTGATTGTGAGACTGTTAACTGAAGTTGTGGATAGTGAAATAAGGGAAGGGCTTTGGACAGATGAAGCCACAGGAGAGCCAAGGCGGGGATGCTTGGTGTCACTGGAAACGTTCTCAGGAAGATGTGGACATAGGTGGGGCTGCTTGGGGTCACTAGAAATGTAATCAGGAAAACATTGACCTAGGTGGGGCTGCATGGATTCACTAGAAACATTATCAGGAAGACATGCACCTACGTGGAGTTGCTTGGGTTCACTAGAAACGTTCTCAGGAAGAAGTGGACCTAGGTGGGGCTGCATGGTTTCGCTAGAAACATTAGCAGGAAGACATGGACCAGTGGGGTTGCTTGAGTTCATTACAAAGTTTATCAGGAAGAAGTGGACCAAGGTGGGGCTGCTTGTGTTCACTAGAATCCTTATCAGTAAGACATGGGCAAAGGTCGGGCTGCCTTTAGCTCACTGGAAAAACAGAAAAATGTGGGGCTGGAGACTGGTTTATGAGGGTCCCTCAGAAGTTTATGTGATGCACACTCTTGGGGAAGGCTCCAGTTGCCCACTGGAACCCAGCCCTTGGCCGCCCCTTCCTCTCACCATCACCACCTGTTGTCTGTGTCTATGTGTTATGCATCTGTGTTCTTTGGCTAATCCCTTCACCATTTTTCATCTACTCTTTCTGGCTAGTTTAGTCTGTTCCATGTATCCATGCCTCTGTTTCTATTTTGTTCATCATTTTATTTTGTTCATTATGTTGCATTTGGAAATCTTAATGTTGAAAACATTCTGATTTAACTTGTGTTTTATTGTTTTATTTAACTTTTTTAAATGACTCTAAAATGTGTCATTAATTGGGTGTGCTATAATTTATGAATAGGTCATCATGATTAAATCATACTTAAAGTGTTATTATTACAAATAATTTTTCATCTTAAATGTCCAATTTTGACTTATGTATGTTGGAAGTTGAAGTTGACCAAGAGGGTGAAACACAAAGGCTAAAACACTATTGGCATTAGAAGAGCCAAGGGACCTACTGTGGAAAGGAAATGACACAAAGACTTTCTCTCATCTCCAGGGCTGCTGAGGATCAATTTCTATGATCTCCCAGGACCTCTGGAATGGAGTCCTTATCTCCAGGACCACCAATTCTTTGCCATTGATCATGTTAGAAAAATGTGTACCTTTTGGGTGGGTTCTACTCTGAGGGGTAAATACTTGGTGAGAAGCACGTAGGCTGGATTATAGACACACTCACCCATCATTCCATCACCCTTATTCATGCATTTTTCCTGCTAATCCTTCCTCACCCACAATTTCCTCACTGAAGTTTCTATTGCATCACAACACATCATTTTCAAGGACAAGTTGTGATTGATTCTATTTATGATACCCCACACCTTCTCACCTGCTGGGAATCTGTCTAGAAGAGACTTAGAAACTGAAAGGAAGCCAGAGGGCGGGGCTTCCAGAAATCATTTATAACCTGCCACTTGCAGAGCTCACACACACAACTAGACACAGTTTGGAAGAGCTTCCCAGCAGAAGGCACAACAATGGCACAGTTACCGGTGAGTTGAACAGGCACAGCCTTCAATGATCCCAGGTCCCATAAGGGAAGGAGGAAAGAGTCTGAGATTCTCTGAGACGAAAACATTGGGAATGTTTTAATTGGGGTTGTGAATACATGGAGATAGAGGATGGGCCAGTGTATCTACTGTCAGCATTTGGTGGTATCTGACTGAGGGTGAACTCTATTGAGACACTGACTTTGTGTGGGAAGTGACCGCTGTCTGGGATGAGGGAGG